GCCTCACAATCAATTCAAAACTATCTTCTACCAGCTACTATTCTGCTCTCAAACTTCCCTCTAATTCCCACGAATATTCGCGAAGAATAATACCTTATTTGAACCCCAAAGTTCTCTGCAAGAATCACAAACTTCACCCATGAAATTCCCCTTCCAGGAGTTCCCAGCAACTCTTCTTCCCTTTCTTCTTTTATTTTCTACTTCTTCATCTTCTTGTATGGCCACGCACCTGATGGTATTCAGAGTTTACTCCAGGCTCTTTGTTCGGGGAATCAATTGTGGTGGGCTTTAGGGAGCCTATAGGGATTAAACTGGAGTCAGTCACACACAAGTCAAACTCCTTAACCCCTGTACTATCTCACTGGCCCAATTCTTCTTCTTAATATCCCTTTACCACCTTTGCTTATTTTTTAAATCAAAAACAGATTTCATTTGGAAGTTTTGAGAAAAGGGAAATGGGAAAGAGAGAATGCACTCAAGGGTTTCTCCAGAGTGGAGAGAGCTCCAATATACATCCCAGTATTAGATATGAAAGTATAAAGTATAGTATAAAGTATAGCTCAAGAGGGGACATGCAGGTGACACCTGTGCTGGGGTGCATATGATGGGCTTGGCAGCAACACATGAGTACAGGCAGCACATGGGCTTGGGCAGCATATGCATGCCTACCTTCCCTTGGTTTTGAAACTGCAGCCTCTAAATCCCAAACCACATTAAAAAAAACCTCTTTTAATTACCATTGTACCCAATCTTATCTTAAATTACTACTCTCACATCTCCCAATTTTTCCCAACTATATCTGTATAAAACTACTTTCCAAGAACTCCCAACTATACTTAGTGCTTCCCTCAAATCAACCCAAATACTAACAATAAGCACCACTTATCTTCCTACTACCTCCATAAATACTTCTAGACCACCATCTAATGACCCACCCAATCCCAACTAAATCTTATATTTTATGGCCTCAACTATACCCAAACACTTTCCAATATAGTTATATCCTAACTATATTCAAACTGTCTTCAATAACAACCAAGCATACATCTGAATTCCATCAGCAGTCCTCAAATCTATCCTCCAAGTGACTCAAGTTAACTTTTTGTGACTGTTGTAACCAATTGCTGGAGAGATAGGACAGCGGATAAGGCCCTTGTCTTGCAGTCAGACAACTAAGATTTGATCCCTACCGGGGGAATGGTGCCGCCAGCAGGTCAATCTCTACCTGTGAGGCGAGTGCATCAGCAGCCTCATGGCGCCTTCAGACTTCCAGATACCCCAAAATTGCTGCTGTGCCTTTGGCCAGACCCCAAAAACTTGGGGCAAAGTTTACCAAGAAAGTAAACGGCCAAAAGTTAGGTATGTGGGAAACACACCCACAAACCACCTCCGGCTCAGCTATATAATTGGAGGCAAGGCCTCTTTGGATCCTGATTGAACTGCTTGGTGACCATGATCCCAGAGACTCAGAGGCGAATCTCGGAACCCAGTGGCTTTAGGTAGAAATGCGTCTGGTCTCTGCGGTAGGCTGCCGGTGCTGGGCCAACCCAGGTGGGAATAGGTTTCGTGCCTTGGCCTATTCCCCCTGGCGGCCCAGTGGCTGCCATCCGTCTGAGGCCACTGGATAGTCACATTTGGGCCCCCAGTGACGAGACACACAGGGCCTCACGGGATGAGGGTGGAGCCGGGCTTGTCCTCCCCACCCCAACGAGACCCCAAGTCGTCGCCCACAAATGGCCTCTCTGGCTCCTGATCAAGCTGCTTAACGGCCATGATCCCAGAGACTCAGAAACAAATCTCAAAACCCAGCGGTGTTTGGCAGAAATGCATCCGGACTCCACAGTACGTTATTGTCGCCGGGTCACCCCAGGGAGGAAAGGGTGTTGTCCCTCCGCCTGCTCCCTCTTGGAGACTTTGAGGCTGTCATCCTCCAGAGGCCATTGGACGGTTGGGCTTGGGCCCGCAGTGACGAAACTTGTTGGGTCTCACGGGATGGTGGGGAGGTGGAGCCGGGCCTGTCCTCCCCACCCTAACGAGACCCCAAGTCATCACCCACAAACGGCCTCTCTGGCTCCTCATCAAGCTGCTCAACGGCCTTGATCCCAGAGACTCAGAAACAAATCTCGAAACCCAGCAGCTTTTGGCAGAAATCCCTCCAGATTTAAGTGTTAAAATTTCAGAACTTCAAAACCACATGGCCCTACTGCAGCCACACGACATCATATGTTATTCATAACCAGCAATAGAACACAAATTGTCTATTGTTGCCTTTTCAGCAGATCTGAGTGTTGGGGTAAAATCTTAAATAATGGTGGGTCTGGTGTCGAAATAGTGAATGTGATCAAAGTAGAGAGAGAGTAATGTAGAAATCATCTGCCCCACAGGCAGGGGGAGGGTGTGGGATGGGGGTATACTGGGATTTTTGGTGGTGGAGAATGGGCACTGGTGAAGGTACGGGTGTTTCATTGTATGACTGAGACTTAGACCCAAAAGCTTTGTAACTGCTCTCATGGTGATTCAATAAATAAAATTATAAAAAATGGAAAAAGAAAAAAAAGTAAGGTGGAGTTCATGCACAATTCAATCAGCTAATCAGTGGCTGAAAAAATAGCAGTACTCCTACAAAAAAAGAAGAAAAAAATAAAAAGATTTGATCCCTAGCACCACACAGGATCCCGGATCAGGGCCAACAGTGACCTGAAAGGCCTGACCCTAATCGCCCGCATGTGGGGGGCAGGCCACTTCCCCAGCCAGGGGGTCCCGGGCCATGGGACAGACAAAGAAGGAAACGAGGGCCGAGCCGGTTGGTTGATCATTTGCTGTTTATTCCATTCTCCCCATGCGCCTGCCCCAGTCTCTCTGAGCCTCCCATTCTAGTCTCACCCTCTTCTCATTCCCGTCTCCTTTTGTCTCTCCTGCTCATCTCCCCGAGCTCCATCATACTGCTCTGCTCTTTCTCACTCTTTCCCTGCTCTCTAGTCTCTCCAACTTTTCAGCACTCTGGGATGACACTGCACCCAGTCTGGTAGCCAAATCAACACAAGAAAGCCCTTCCTGGGGGTATGGTGCCGCCAGCAGGTCAATCTGTACCTGTGAGGCGAGTGCATCAGCAGCCTCATGGCGCCTTCAGACTTCCAGATACCCCAACATTGCTGCTGTGCCTTTGGCCAGACCCCAAAAACTTGGGGCAAAGTTTACCAAGAAAGTATACGGCCAAAAGTTAGGTATGTGGGAAACACACCCACAAACCACCTCCGGCTCAGCTATATAATTGGAGGCAAGGCCTCTTTGGTTCCTAATTGAACTGCTTAATAGACATGATCCCAGAGACTCAGAAACGAATCTCAGAACCCAGTGGCTTTAGGTAGAAATGGGTCTGGTCTCTGCAGTAGGCTACCGGTGCAGGGCCAACCCAGGTGGGAATAGGTTTTGTGCCTTGGCCTGTTCCCCCTGGTGGCCCAGTGGCCACCATCCGTCTGAGGCCACTGGATAGTCACATTTGGGCCCCCAGTGACGAGACACATAGGGCCTCACGGGATGGGGGTGGAGCCGGGCTTGTCCTCCCCACCCCAACGAGACCCCAAGTCATCGCCCAGGAATGGCCTCTCTGGCTCCTGATCAAGCTGCTTAATGGCCATAATCCCAGAGACTCAGAAATAAATCTCAAAACCCAGCGGTGTTTGGCAGAAATGCATCCGGACTCCACAGTACGTTACTGTCGCCAGGCCACCCCAGGGAGGAAAGGGTGTTGTCCCTCCGTCTGCTCCCTCTTGGTGACTTGGTGGCTGTCATCCTCCAGAGGCCATTGGACAGTCAGGCTTGAGCCCGCAGTGATGAAACTTGTTGGGCCTCACGGGATGGGGGGGTGGGAGGGGTGGAGCCGGGCCTGTCCTCCCCACCCCAATGAGACCCCAAGTTATTGCCCACGAACGGCCTCTCTGGCTCCTCATCAAGCAGCTCAACGGCCTTGATCCCAGAGACTCAGAAACAAATCTCAAAACCCAGTGGCTTTTGGCAGAAATGTGTCGGACCCCGCAGTAGGTTACTGTTGCCTGGCCACCCCAGGGAGGAATGGGTGCTGTCCCTCTGCCTGCTCCCTCTTGGCGACTTGGTGGCTGTCATCTTCCAGAGGCCATTGGACAGTCAGGCTTGGGTCCGCAGTGACGAAACTTGTTGGGCCTCACGGGAGGGGGGGAGGGGAGCCGGGCCTGTCTTGCCCACCCCAAAGAGACCCCAAGTCATCGCCCACGAACGGCCTCTCTGGCTCCTCATCAAGCTGCTCAACAGCCATGATCCCAGAGACTCAGGAGCAGATCTCTAAACCCAGTGGCTTTTGGCAGAAATCCCTCCAGATTTAAGTGTTAAAATTTCAGAACTTCAAAACCACATGGCCCTACTGCAGCCACACGACATCATATGTTATTCATAACCAGCAATAGAACACAAATTGTCTATTGTTGCCTTTTCAGCAGATCTGAGTGTTGGGGTAAAATCTCAAATAATGGTGGGTCTGGTGTCGAAATACTAGTTATTTTTGTATGGACACAGTGAGAGATAACATTGAGGCTTGTAGGGTAGCTCTTCTGAGGACATCTTGCCACAGACTCAGACTACAGCACTCAGGCCAGATTAATCATTCCTAATCCTAGCAGGGTCCAAATATAGTTATTACTTTTTGGATCATAACAGCATTTGTCCATGACCAAGGTCTAAACTTATAGTTAAGCATTATGGCACTTTGGCCAGGCCCATCTCGATGCCAGGGTAGCACATAACTTACCGCTTGCCCTGGTTCCATCCAGTCCCTCGTCGGGACCCTGCTTTGCGGGGCACTAGGAAGTAAGGGCAGCTGAGGCTTAGGTCAAGAGAACAGATACCCAGGAGGAAAATATCACTGAGAGTTAAGTTACAAAATCATAGCCTATTCCGTCTTCTTGTCTCCATACAAAAAGGACACTGCTCTGAATAAACTATGCAAAGGACTCAGGGAGAAGAGAAAAACACTTTGGCAGCACATATACTAAAATTGGAACGATACAGAGAAGATTAGCATGGCCCCTGCGCAAGATTAGGATGGCCCCTGCGCAAGGATGACATGCAAAATTTTCAAGTCAGCAGAGCACAAAGAAAGAAGTTACAAATAAACACAGAGGAATGGGAGCACTGTGAGGGGAGCAACCCAATAAACCTAAACTACTTGAAGCTATGCAGGAAGGATAGAACAGTGTTATCCTACACCTGAGTACAGAGCCTAGAGTACACTCTGATCATAGTCAGATATGCTTCTACATTCGAAAAAAGCAAATTATCATAAACCTGGTGACAAAACATAAGAAATGATTTCGAAGAGCTGGAGACAGTACAACACTAGGGAGCTTGCCTTACACACGATTGACCTAGGTTTGATCCCAAACATCCATATGGTCCCCAGAGCACTGCCAGAAGTGACTTCTGAGTGCAGGAGTAACCTCTGAGCATCACTAGCCGAGGCCCAAATTTTTTTATAAAATGTATTCAAACGCAGTTCTGGGGAATAGGAGACCAAATCCAAATGCCTGCAAAGCCATATTAGCTTCACAGTCTTTAAGGGGAGCAGTTACTTGTAGTCTCTTCCAGTTTTAGGTGGCTGCCAACATGGAGTGATAGCTGTGGCCACATCACTAAAATATTTGGCTCCCTCTAATAAGGACAATTATGATTATAATTAGAGCCCCTTGGGTAATGCAAGACAATCTCTTCAAGTCTTATTTTAATCACACTTAAGAAATTCCTTCCTTTCCTTCTTCCTTCCTTCCTTCCTTCCTTCCTTCCTTCCTTCCTTCCTTCCTTCCTCCATCTCAAATATAGTCAAGGTTCCAGGACTGAGAACATTCATACCATTTGCAGGATGGGGATGTTATCAGCCTACAACATCCACTCAAGATGCAAAATACAGGAACTTTATCCTAATAGCCCTCACCAATTTTTTTTGCTACATCCAGTGTTGCTCAGGGGCTACTCCTGGATGCTCTGGGTTGGGGGATTCATGTGGTATTGGGGATCAAGCTGAAGTATGCCGTACACAAAGCATATTCTCCCTAAGTCATATTGTAGGTTCTGTGCCCAGAAGTTTGATCCCATTTCACCATCAATTCAAGTTCAAAACTCTCACTGTGGGGCTGGATCAATATTAGTGGGTAGGTCCTTCCCTAGCACATGGCCGGCTGGGGTTTGATCCCTGGCATCCCAGATGTTCCCTGTGCAGTGCCAGGAGTGATTCCTGAGTGCAGAGTCACAAGTATCCCCTGAGCATCGCTGGGTGTGGCCCAGAAAAGGGAAAAACCCTCACTGTAATACCCTCAGCTCAGAAGTTTGAAATCCCTTCTGTGGCCAGAGACAAATTACAGCTGGTAGGGTAATCCCCAGCATCCCCTAGGGTCCCCAGCACCTCCAGGAGTGATTCTTGAGTGTAGAACCAGAAGTAACCCCTGAAGCATTGTCAAGTGTGGCTCCAAAGCAAAACAAAACAAAACAAAATTTGAAATCTCTTCATCTAAATCGGGTAAAGTGAGACTTTTCCCCTGAAGCAAAATTCCTCTACATCCCTGGACCTGTGAAATTAGAAAACAAGTTTTCTTTTCCCAGAAGACCATGGTGGCTTGGACAGAGATTAAGAATTTTCAACATTCCTATACTGAAAAAGGGAGAAAGGGAAAGGTTTGATTGTTACCAGGAAACTTTGGAATCCAGCTGGGCCTATTCTATTCTTTCAAAGCTTAGAATTATTCACTGTGGCTTGAGATGCTCCCTCAATGCTCTGCTTCCTGAATCATTTCTACTTTCTCTTGAAGGGGAGCACATGTTTGCAGTGGTGTTGTTTAAGTTTGTATCCTTCTAGGATAATTTGTGAGGTTCAACAATTTTTCTTCATTTCCTTGTGTCCGTGTTTCTTTCAATCTAGTCAGAGAGTGTGTCTGTGAATATAAGAGTCTAAAAAATCTGTGGCTCTCCCATGGAAGTTACAGGCACTAACACTCTGAGATAAAGGGATCTTTTTGTTGTTGTTGCTGGTTGAGAGGGCACACCTGGATGTCCTCAGGACTTTCTCCTGGAGGGCGCAGGGGAGGGTATATGGAGTGCTGGGGACCGAATTTGGGTTGGCTTTGTGCAAAACAAACAGCTTACCTGCTGTAATATCACTTTAGCCCCAAAGATGATCTTTTTGTTTTGTTTTGTTTGCCTGTCTTAGTCCTGGCTCTGCACCTGGCGGTACTTGGGGGACCATATCGGATGCTGGAGATCAAACCCAGGTTGGCCTTGTACAAGGCAAGCACCTTACCATTCTACTATTCTACTATTGCTCTGGCCCTAAACAAAAGGATCTACAAATGTTTGTAGCTAATCCCATCTCTATGATTAACTTCTGTTGAGACATTGAGAGGATCCAGGAATCACAGACCTAATTTTTCCAGTGCAAGCAAAAGGCCCCCAGTCACCACTTGGATTTCTCTGCAGATTTACATTCCCAACAATAAACTATATGTGTGTAAAAATTTTATATATACTACACTTTGCATGGGGCAACAGGAATAGTACAGCGGGTAAGGCACTTGCTATGGATGCAGTAGACCCTGGTTCAATCCCCAGCATGCCATAGGTTCCCTGAGCACTGTCAGGAGTAATGTCTGAGTGCAGAGTTGAGCCAGGAGTAACCCCTGAGTATTGTAGGGTGTGACCCTAAAACAAACAAAACAAATAAACAAAAGAAACAACATACCCGTGAATTAGATGTATTGGTGAATGCAAATTGGGATGCAGAGAGTTGCCTTGAAAAGCTGATTATATAGACCATTCCTGCTGCCTTAGCTTAGGGCTCTTGAGGGGAAATTTAAAAATATGTATATTGTAGTTTGGAATTCCTTCTTGCAATTTGGACAGCCTGAAAATTTCCCAAATCATTCAATTCTGGAGTTTGTTGTTGTTGTTTTGGTTTTTGGGCCACACCGGCAATGTTCAGGGGTTATGCCTGGCTCTGTGCTCAGGAATTCATCCTGGCAGTGCTGAGGGGACCATAAGGGATGCCAGTGATTGAATCCAGTCAGCTACATGCAGGCGAATACCCTACCCACTATACTATTGATGTAGGTAGGTAGAAGAGTCCCCATGGCAATGGGATTCCTAGGAAGTAATAAAATTAATAGCCCCAAGGCTACAAAGAGCCCATCTTATGATCTCAGGAACTAAGGCTTTATATGGCACCAGAGACCCAGAGAAGGCTGGATCTCCCCTCCAAGGGAAGCTCCTGCAGGAACAAAGGCCAAGGAAAGGAATTTCAAAGAAGACCATCAACCACTCCTAACTCTTCCCACTTGGCAGCCACACAAGCAATGGAATCTTACCTAGCTAGAAATTCCCATGTGGGGAAGCTTGGGAAAAACCCTATAAAAGCCAACTTCAACAAAGGAAGCATGCCTATATGTTACCCAAACCCATGTTCTGCTTATGTCCACGTAGTCAAGTAGGTGTGGTGCCCAAGCACATGTATCACCTTCATCTCACCTCTTGAGATGTGTACTGTGGTTCTCTTCTCCTTTGGAGAAACCTGCGTTTTCTCTTGAGCATAATGCTCTCTCTCCCTCTCTCTCCCTCCATCCCCTTCATCAAAAAGCCTCCAAATAAAATTTTTTTTTTACTTCAGTGCTCCTCTATTCCTAAAATTCTTTTCTGTGAAAAAGACAAGGACAATGAAGTCCTGGGTAAGGTCTCGAACTGGCTACTTTATCAGATCCTAGCCTTCCCAGCCAGTCCCCGGGGTGGCAGAGGTGGATCAGGAGAAAGTGGCAGTCTTTCCTCTCTGCCTCACATAAGTCACCCGTAGGGGCCCACCAATTTCACTATTACTTCTGCTTCACAATTCTGGATCCTTCTTGCTTCACAATTTACCCCTAGATTTCTTTCTATTTACATTTTACTCTAGGGGGGCTGGAGCAATAGCACAGCAGATAGGGTGTTTGCCTTGCACGCGGCCCACCCAGGTTCGATTCCCAGCATCCCATATGGTCCCCTGAGCACCGCCAGGAGTAATTCCTGAGGGTAGATCCAGGAGTAACCCCTGTGCATTGCCGGGTGTGACCTAAAAAAAAAGTTTGCTTTTTTTTTTGAGGGGGAAGTGGGGGACCACACTGTGGTGCTCAAGGTTTGCTCCTGGTTCTCTCAGGAATCACTCCTGGAAGTGCTCAGGGGAGCATTGCAATTCTGGGGATTGAACCTGGGTTGCCATGTACAAGGCAAGCACCTTACCATTGTACTATCTCTTTGGCACAATAAATATATATTTTTATTCACTTTCCAATAATACATTTCTCTTTTCCTTCTAAGCCCTCGCCAGCAGCATTTTGAACATTCACGTATCTATCATCATTCTATTTAGAATAATATATGTATGCTTTTTTCGGGGGGGTCACACCCAGTGATGTTCAAGGGTTGCTCCTGGCTCTGCACTCAGGAATTACTCCTGGAAGTGGTTGGGGCACTACATATGGTGCCAGGGGGTGAACCCGGGTTGGCTATGTGCAAGGCAAACACCTTCCCCACTATACTATCCCTTCTTCCCCAGTATATGTATTCTATCTATGTAGTTTTCATGACCATTCCTCTTTCCCCCTGAGCCTTCCCTAGCAGTGCATTTAATTCTTATATTTCTGTTTTGTCCTAGGCATTATAAACTTTTTCTCTCTTATATCTCAATGTTCTTTTAGCATCTCCTATTATCAAATTCCCAATTCACTTCAACACTTTTAGGTATTTGTTGCAACATGTTTATGGGATTAACTGTGCCTCTTTCCCATGACTATGTTGAATCTCTACCCCCAAAGTGACTTACTTGGACATAGGAAGTAATTAAGGTAAATGAGCTCATAAAGACTGTGGTCCAACCCTCAAGGACTGGTGAATTTACAGGAGACAACATAACTGCATATACCCAAAGGAAAGGCCATCTGGGAATAAATTGAGGAACAGATATCAGAAAATCTGGAATACAGTCATCATCAGAAACCTAACAGCATGCACCTTCAGCTTAGATTTCTAGCATCTAGAACTGTTATTTTCTGTATAGGCAGCCCAGGAC